CAATAATTTGGTATTTCCGTTTTGACTCATTATTATTCGGCAATATGATGCCATTATTCAGTAAGTATTTTTTTCTTCGATATTTCATACTCAATGTTGTGGTTTCTGGAACCTAAAAATTGAATGTTTATGTTCTGAGAGGCAGCGTGGATTTCAGGAGTTGGCGGATTTCAGGTCGGCGGTTTTCGGTATTTGACTGTAACAATAATACTAATACTAATTCCACATTATTTTTCAGATACCCTGTATTTGAAAATGAAACTTGTGTATTTTCTGCATGGTCAAATTTATTGAAAAAAAAAACAAGTTATTTATTATGTCTTGTGTTGCCTTATATAAAATGAAATGCAAAACATTTTCATATTTTATATGAAGTATTTAGCGTAGATAAAGATATCAGAAGCAGAGTATAAAATCATGCATAATTAGCCCGGAAAATATTCAGCATACATAACTGTTAAAAGATTAAAGTATGAGCTGATTAGAAATTAATTTATCATCAGTTTCTGAAAAGCTAACATTGTATTTTTTAAAAATAGGTTTATATATATATATATCTGTGTGTGTGTGTGTAAGTATAAACTTTAAACTAATTTTGTTACATTAGACCTGTAAAAAGTGTTGAATATCCTCATGGTTATGTTCAGAATAATATGATATTCTACCTGAAATTTGCACTACTTTTTAAAATGGGTTCAGATGCTCAAAATTTGCATTTACGTAAAATTTCTGTAGTTAGAGACTTTAATTTATGCTGCTTCATAACTTTTTATAATCACAATGTCATTCATTTGAAAAACATTCATAAGTGCTATCAGAATTATATAAATATCTCTTGATATTATGTATATTTATGTTCTTTTAAGAAGTGGACAGATTGACTATAATAACCAGTTATGCAGCTTAATAATCTTTACAGACTGAATTTTTGTCCATTCATAAAAAACATAACTGAGATAAATTTTTCTGATAAAAAGAATGATAAAATACAAATTTTTCTTTGTTTTCATTTAGCTAAAAATTGAATTTAAATTATATTATTTCTCGTATAAAATGAATTGAAGTCAGTAGGAAAATAACTGCCACTTTTTATCTTGAAATTCAGATACATGTATTTTCATTTTTGAATTTCTATCTTAGTTTTGATAAAATTTAGTCAATAATTAATATTAACACATACACTAAAGAAATTTTATATTTTTCACTTCAAATAAGTTTAATAGATGCAAATGCAAAGTTAACAAAAATTCAGAAATGTTGTTACGAAAAAAAATATTTTTGTTTCTGTAAAGGTATTGAAGTGGATATGTAGAGAGAGAGAGTTAGAAAGTTTCTCCCCCTTCCATGTCTTATATAGGCCTTAAAAGTTATAGTACGATAAAAACCCTTTTATCATATTATATAATTTGTATACATTATTAGGCCATAAGCTTTCCAATAGTTTACACTTGATATCTTTCTGAAGTCCAATTTAATACTGATATTCTAGAAATAAGGAAGCTAATTAGGATTGTGTGGAGATTAATACTACCCTAGATGACTGAAACTGCAAATAAAATAGGAGACTGCTGCCATAAAATAAAAATTAAAAATCAATAAATGGGGAGCAATGCCACATATTTTTAAACTTGGTGAATTCAGTATTGCAAAGAAAAAAAAATTCTTACTTATTTATTGAAACAATTATCATATATAGACATATGCATCCAGTGCACTATTTAGAACAAAATGTATGCAATGTTTATATTTCATTAACTATTTCTGATCAATCACAGAAATAATTTGTGAATTTTATAACTTTGTTTTCACACTTCATTTATATTTGCATATTTTCGTATTAGAAATTAGAAAATGAAAAAAATATATACATTATATATATAGATAATAACTACGAACTAGCTTGTAAGTCTCGCAGGTTGTAAGTGATTTTTTTATAACATATTTTCTTACAAATCATGCTAATGACTAATTTAAAAACCCTCTCAGCGTTATGGCTGGAATTCCCGACACAGAAGGTTGCTTCCACATTCATTATACATGAAAATTCTGCTAGCTTTTAATATAACTGATTTCAGTTTGGGATGTATATTGGAAGAAAAGGGGAATCAAGGTACAAAATGAAAGATCATTTTTAATAACATCAGAATATCACTTATTTCATGATATTTTGAGGAACTTGAAATTGTCAAGGGCTAACCGTTAATCTCAGAGGGTTGAGGAAATAATAATAATAAATTCATAATAATTTATATATGTCTCTTAGATATTAATAATATCGATTATAGGATTAGAATGAGATCATAACAATAGATTTTGAGATGAACTACAGCATAATAAAGATTTTAATAACAATACAGAGTTATAATCTGATTTTTCGATAATTTCGTTATTATATATAAAAATCAAATCAGAGATACATTGTTGCGTTTAATAATTTAATTTTAACAATATTACATGGGGACTATCATGCAAAGAAGGTATATCTTTACGAGAATTTTTCTTGTTAAATTGATTTTGTTATTTAGCGAGAAAAATTCGTGACATATGAATCATCAAAGAATTTGGAAAGTTTAAATGTCATGAAGAATTAACTCAATTCTTTCATAGAAATTCGTCTAAAACATCGTTATATCCAAAGTGAAGTCTATTTCATTTCAACGAATATTCTATTTATAATATATTTTCCAATTTATTTTAGAAAGAGATCTTTCACGTTTTCAAAGAATAAGGAAATATGGTGTTGATACCATGTATAAATTTGTTTTTTATATTCTTCCAGTAATGAAAACGATTACCCTGAATATTTTCAAAGCAAATTAAGAAAACCGTTTACGCCAAATTGTGCATAAAGTATCTTCTCTGTAATTTTTATTTAAAGTGTGGAATTTTCTTTGAAAATATCAAAAATCATTGAAGAGCAAATTAATTCATGAGAAATAACTTGAAATGCAATATTCCATGAATAACATAGTGGATTAAAAGTGCAATACATTATTTATTCACAAATAATCCCCCTCATATGCGTAATTTAGTACGATTGAGAAATTAGGGTTAGTAATTAACCGGTTAATTCAATACTTTTCTTATCAATTTTTTACCTGCTCTCAGTAAGCGGAAAGTGGCTGAAACACTTAGCTCGCTTGGTTTGAATCCCGGATAAAATTTGGATTCATGGTTTTTGGTAACGTAAATGCAAGCCTTCTCTAGAAAGTCTCCGCGAAGACATAACCCCCTATACAGGTAATCGTTGGGTGCTTTGATGTAATTCCGTAAGCGAAAACAAATTAATCCAATCAATACCGAAGAACGGGTTGATTACATGTGGAGTTTTCACCAGGATGTAAATGCGAGCAATTTCTCTTAAAAAGGTTTACACGAAAGCATCCATTCCCTAAGATAGCGTTTCGCGTTTTCCAATCCTAATTTTATACATTTTAGTAAGTTGACATACACCTTATTACAGACAAATAACAACTTTTTAAATATTTTTTTATCAACTGAATTCTCTTCTTTGAGAGTAAAGAATTTCAGCAAATAAACTGGCCAAAATTTATAACATTTAACTGATGTTTGATTCATTTAGAAGTAACGTGAGCTGTACTGAATTTACATTTTTTGGCAGATCTCATCCTAAAAGAGGTAAAGATAATTGATTTTTAATTTACAATCAATGAAAATCATTGAAAGCAATCACTGAATGAATGAAAATCAAAAACTATTATGCAGACATCTCTTATTTATCTCTGAATCAGACAAAATTGCTGCATAATAGAAGCACTTTGAAAGGTTGACAGTTCTTAAGGTTATGCACTCCACAAACAATGTCAAATAAAATTATTATTATGAAAAGAAAAAAAGGAAACGATAAACGGTTTTACCTATTTTCTAGAAGGGCATTAAATTAAAATATTATCTATTCTTATTGTTAGGATTAAAAACATTAAATATGGTAAGCTTAAAGAGCGTGCAAAATCGCGGACGTTTTAATCATCAAAAGTCAGTACTAAAAAAATAGCATTAAATTATGAGACAGATTGAGAAAGAGATGGCTTCTATTTGATTTTCAAGTATATTGGTGCAAGACGAAACCTGTGGTTTTTGCCAAAATGTAGCCAAACTGATTAGAAGAGGGAAACAATGCATAGCCAGCGGCTATTCTGAGCAGCGACAAAGGACCACCCAGAGATCTACAGATAGGTGATTCTCTAAAATAGGGAGAGGATGGCTGGTACGACAGTTGTACCACAGCCGGCATTAAAGAAAGTCGTTTTCCCGATACAACTGCTGTACCGCCGCCGCCGCCTTTAGAAGGTTAATGAAGTTTCAGTAATCAAATATTAATTTTACTAAAAACTTATTGAAATAAAATTGCAAACTAAGAATGTTCATGGAAACATCAACACTAACAAAAAATTTTCTGTATGTTTAAAATTTAATATTTTCCTTTCATATAAATCATATGAATAATAATATAAATCATATACATTTTTAAAAAAAATTTTAGGTTGTTACTCTAACAAAGCATAGAGGTTGGGGAAAGCCTGAGGATGAACAGTTGCACGTCCTACCTCTATATACAGTAGATAATACTGATGAATATGGTAGCAAAGAAGGTCAAGACAAAAAGGTATGAGCACAAGTTGCTGTTTGATTTCATATGAGAAAATGTCATTTTTTTAATATTAATGTCACAGATACATATAAAAACAAACATTTTAAAGAAAGATTTTAAAACTTCAAAATATTTCACAGGCTGCTTGGGAATTCTTAATATATTTATAATATGAATTCAGTAACATAGCATAATTGTGCATATTATAAGTGTTATAGTTTCTAGTGATCAGAATTATTGTAATAAGTTTTATATTGTTAATTTTTGATTTATTAGATTTGATATTTAAAAATTACTGTTGGTTCTAAGAAGTCAGCTTTTATGCTTTTATGCTAAATTAGTTAAGTAGATTAAATATTTAAAAAATCTACATTTTTATTTGAACTATTTTAAAAATTCACTGAATTTTTTTTTTTTCATTTATAAATAATGATCAGTGAGCAGCTAACTAAAAGCTTTTTTCCAAATGAAAGATATTATTTCAAGTACTGTATGTATATTATTGTATATTTCATAAAAATAATAGTAACTTAATTGAAAAAATGATTTTAAGTAAAATGGTGGGGAATAATTTTATTGCGCTTATTCTCTTGTAATGGTTTAGTTGTAAGTTAACTGAAAATGTAATAGTTAACATAAACTAGTTGTGTAACATAATTTTAAAATTTTCTGTTCTTTCAATATACCAACTCTTAAATACCAGTGAATAAAGTATAACAGTACAAAGATTTTGGATTTTGGACTTCGATTTTGGATTTTAGATCATTAATTTAAATCTTGTGTGAAGACATTCAGAAATAATAAAATTAAAAATATGAAATGGTTGTTTGTGAACTAATAAAGAATGTATGACCTTAAAAATCAAAATTTATTTAAAAAAAACACCTTAATGTTAGCATTTATTTTGCTTTATTAAACATTTCTTTCAACATAAATTATTCCTCTTTAATTTAATTCAGATGCATAATTTCTTGTTCAGTTACAAAATTCCACTTTTTGAGTCCTGAAATTGCCATTTCCATCTCCTACTAAATAAACAGTTGAAATCTTTTCATTTTTAACAACCATTTTGTTGTATTATTTAATAACAGTGTTGGTATTTTCTGGATTTAAAACCATATAACATATTTTACCATAATTGACTGATGTCTGGTACATTGGCATTGCAATGTGACATCTGTTTTTATTATTTTACATAGCATTTCTTCTTATATTCCATTAAATGGAAATTTTCACTTTTTTTCTCCTGTCTATATGACACTTTTTTAATCTGAAGTATTTAGTTTCCTTATATTATTTTCCTTATATTTCCTGCAGCATCACCTGTCATTAGTTAGGTTTGGCGTCTTTCTAAATGCAACCATATTTTTCCATATAATTTTATTTATTTATTTATGATTTTACTGAAATGGATTTTACTATTTGGGATTTGCCAACGGATACAATAACAAATAGCTTTTATTACAAATAATAATGAATAGCTTTTTTTTTTTTTTCCAAGAAAGAGTTATTTTGCACAGTATGTTCGACTGCATTTGAATAACAACCTTATGAAATTAAATTGTGGCTCAAAGCCAAAATGGTAACAGTTTCTGCCTTTTTGGCTTATTACATTTCACTGACCTAGACCAGAGGTCGGCAACCTATTGAAACGGAAGAGCCAAACGTTACAGTTTACAAAATTCCCAGTTTTTAAAGAACCACTAAAAAGTTTTGCTTATATATACATTTGATTTTTGACTTAAAATAATGGCTTTAATAGTAATAATATATAGGGAACTTATATATAGAACAATAAGATAGTTAAAAATCAAGGAGAGATTGGCTTAGGCATGCCTTTGAATGATTGATTGATCTGGGTATTTATAACTTTTGATTTAGTTCAAGCAACTCAATATTTTTATTTGTAGTTGACTTCAAACTTTACTTTTTAATTATATTTATGAGAAACACTGCTTTGATATGTCGACCGAGATCGTCAGATTCTCCATATGTACGTCTGAGACCCCACTCATCATTCTGGAAGACTATTCCATGCGCCGAATATGAGGGCCTCAACTCGCGGCATTTCATTTAGAACTGTCCACTTGTGTTGCTCGATGTGCATGCATTTCTGGACCTCCAACTCTGCCAATTTGCTCTTAAGTTCTGTGAACTTGCCACTCTACAAGTCTTCGGTTTTCAAATATAGCAGTTGCATTTGAATCGATCCAGCATCAATTCCAAAGGTCTCATTGTTGATATCATTTGTATTTGCGTTCAGAGGATTTAGTATGAATGCAAGAGTACTTTTGTTTGTTTTGAATTGCTCAAATCTCTCAGTGAATCTATCCTTCATGTTTTTTAAAGCTATTTTGAAGTAATTCGTGTCAATATTTGCATTGGTCTCATTGCGATATACTTCAGATTTTTTAAATTAATTAATTTACCGCTCTCCATGTCTTCAACAAAAATAAGTAATTTGTTTTCGAAACAAACTACTTCTTCAAGCAAGGCGTAGACTGGGTTTCTCTTTCCTTGCAGTTTTATAATTAATTCATTTAGTCTTATTGTGGTGAGGCCCGGTGGCGCAATGGCCAGCACATCGCGCAGCAGCACCACAGGTCCTTGGTCCGATTCCCAGGCTGGGCAAGGTCGACTCAGCCCTTCATCCCTTGAAAGGCTGAGTCAACTACTATGAAGTAGAATTTTTGCAGCCATTTGTCTTCTTCTGATTTGGGATGGTCAATTTTTTTCTTTCATTGATGAATGTTTTTATGTCACTCAAGCACAAAGCAAAACGTTGCAATACGTTACCTCTGGAAAGCCATCACACTTTATTGTGCTGAAGTAGATCAGAAAACTGCTTCTATCAAGAAACTTCAACGAGGTGATGGTAGTGTGCTTTTGCAAAATGTTGTTAATAATCTTAATTACCAAGTTCATGACCTCAACTATTTCGACCGGAAACGTTTAGGCACAAAGCGCTTCTTGCTGAATTATACAGTGAGAGTTAGAATTTTTTTTTTTTTTTTCTGAAGAATTGTTGTTACCCCTCTATGTATTCCTGTCATACTTCTGTATAAGTTGCTATGGAAACGATTTTATGTATATCAATTTCATTGTCTTTCAGGCATTTTTGCCCAAACATTTGCTATATTTTCTCCACGAGTTTGCAATGAGAGTGATAGCAATCCTACAGTTCTTCCTTTGGACCTTGGGAGGATATATACCTTACGAAAAAGATAACTTGTGCTGTGTCTTTTATGTCACAAGGCTCATCTATAACAAGTGATAAGGCAGAAGTCAGCTAAAGGTCATCCACTTGCATATGTGTTACATCTTAGCAGTTCTATCTTGTACTATTTTTGCAGATAATGGCAAATCTTATATTTTTTTCCCATGATTTCTGTTTTGTTTTTACGAAACAGTGATCATGAAACAGTTATTCAGATGCACGTATAAAAAAATCTTTGACGTATTCACCATCTGTGAATGGTTTTACTCTTTTTGCAATTTCTAATGATACTGCAGAGCTTGGCAGGTTTACATTATTAGAAGATTGTGCCAGTTACTTAGCATGGAACTCGATTTTTGTTTTCTTTGGAGTCTTCGGGAGCTTTTTCATGTGTCCTCGGTTGTATTACTAGCAAACTGGGTTATTTGTTTGTGAGGAGTGTCTTTTCAAATTGACTCTTATTGTGTGAGAGTTTGGGGCAAAGGAAAGTCGGTTCTGTGTTGCATAGAATGCAAACGACTCCGCCCATCCGATCGAATTCTCGGTTTCTTTTCTAGACGCCATGCGTGGTGAGCTGAAAATAACAATAGTTTCAAATTAAAGTACAGTATGAAATGGTTCAAAGATATCTCATTACGGTCATGTTAACTAGTGTTTGTCATTAACGATTCTGAAATGTATGGAAGCTATTGAGAAATAAGTACTTAAATATATTTCTATTTTATAAGGGTTTGAAATAAATATCATTTTTCCCGTATGAAATGGAAGCGCAACTAAACACAAAAGCGCCGCAGGTTGCTGACCCGGCCTTATGATGAATTCGGATTGCCACTGCAGGGAAAGATGAAAGTTATATTCTCCTCATTTGACTTTTTTATTTTCATCAAATACGAGCGTATGTTCGGAAACTAAGTCTTTTGAAAAAAAAAAAAAAATAGTAAAAACAATTTTTTCGCATCAATTTGTTTTAAATGAAAATCATGTCTTAACTATTTTCCCCATAGTTTCCGCCAATGATCAACACTGTCATAAAGGTGACCAGTTTTTGTATACAATCGTCAAAGAAACTTCCCGCAGTTTCGATAACCACGACTCCACGCATTTTCGTGTCATCGTCAGAACCAAGCGCTTGAACCAAGCTGCGCTTAAGTGACGAAACGTGATAGCGACAGCGCCAAGTCCGGCTGTACGCGGGTGATCGATGCTCCCAATGAAAACTGTCAAATAACGACGAGGACACCAGCGTATGGGGGCCGAGACTGTCATGGAGCAAACATCTTACATGTCTCTTCGTTGTGTGAATGGCCACCTTGTTTTATTAAAAGTCTCCAATATAGTGCCCATTAGGTTTACCTTCTAGGAAAAATTCAGTAGCAAAACTCTTCATCAGAAGACAGTGCACATATTTTTGTGATGCATTGTCCTTTGAACTTTGGTTTTTTGTGCGATGAATGTGTATCCACTCCATCGATTGTTGTTTCGATCTGGGTGAAAACAACCCAAGTTTCATCAGCTGTCACAATTTGGTTTAAAGTTTTCCCAATCACTGTAACGCGTGGATGTCAGGTCACTACCAATCGCTTGTTTTGTAACATCAGTGAACATTTTGGAACCATCGGAACCAGTTTGCTTAATCAAAGCGGTCGACCATTTCGAAAAAAAGTCGTGAAATTTGTGGATCCTGTGAAAGAGTTGTATTGTGAATGTCTGTTTCATGAATCGCGTCATCTGAACTTCCTTATCACTCAATCGGTGACAAAGAAGGCCAACCACTCCGGCCTCGGCGGGACACAATTGTTCGACCTGCATTAACATTCATTCCCCACTTTCTCACAATTCCATCTTATCCGTATTCACCGTAAACTCTGCTCACGCAATAAATTCGCCCGGTTTAACATTCTCGCGTTCAAAAAATTAATCACGGCACGATCTCAAGTAAGTGGGAGAACTATTGTCTTAAACATTTGAATGTGTCCGCAAACGAAAACAACATAAGCACCAAAAGGCGACAGTTGAAAGTCAGTGAAAGAAACTAGTGGCATGCGCGGGACGCCACCACAGCGCTGCGATGGCGCTAGAATGAAACGGTACTTAGTTTCCGAATACGCTACATATTCCATTCATCAGAAATTTTGCTTTTTACGTGTGATGTAAGGTACATCCATAAAGTAATCGGACAACTTTTTATAAATAAAAAGATTACTCACTTTCAGACAAATTTATATCCTTCAAAATAATTGCCAGAGGAGTCTATAATAGTTTCACAATGTTTCTTCAGGTCATAGAAACACTGTTTATAGCTGTTGGAATTAATCATTCACGAAGTCCATGTAACATTTAATTTAATATCCGAGACATTTTCTGTCCTTTCGTGGCCATCTTAATCTTAAGCTTTGGAAAAATGAAAAAAAAAATCAGCTAGCAATAAGTCAGGAGAATATGGTGGGTGATTTTATCAATGATATTGAACACTTACTAAGATACTGTTGTACAGACAATGCCTAACATTATTGTGTAATAGAAACCATTGTCTAAAATCAAGAATGTTCCTTTTTTACTCGCATTATTGTGTTTCTTAAAAAAAAAAAGGCACCTTCTTATAAAAATACTGATAATTGATTTTGATTTTCAGTGGCAAATTCTTGGTGAATAAATCTTTTGTAATTAAAAAAACACAATCAGTATCACCTTAGTCTTTGATTTTAACATGTATGCTTTTTTTCTGTATGGAGAAAACAGCTCTTTCCACTGTGCACATTGTCTTTTTGTTTCTGGATCAAACTCTAAACACCAGGTCTCATCTCTTATGATACATGTTAATAAATTATTGTCCTGTTTTGTAGGATACATGTTAAAAAATTGTTGTCCTGTTTTGTGTAGTCAACAAATTTCACAGCAAGCTTTCCTGTGTCTTCTTATTGCTGTTCTTTTAAAATCTGAGGCATGAAATTTCCTCATTTTCAAATTTTCAATTAATGTTAATCCGTAGCTTTCTTTGCTTATCCCAAGTTGCTGAGTTGTTGCACATCTATTAGCTTTTACCAAAGAACAAATTTTTCTCCACATTTTCCTCATTCTTTGAAGTTGAAGGGCGTCTTATCTGTGGTTCATCTTCAACATTTTCACACCCATATTTAAAGCAGTTGTACCACTCGTAGGCATGTATTTTTGATAACAATATATCATCATATACTGTTTGAATCATTTCTAACATTTCGGTAGCAGATTTACCTAATTTGTTACAAAATTTGTTGTTATGATGTTGTTCCATTTTTAAGTAATTTTTCTTGTACAGTGTCTTCTCAGTTTAAACTGGCTTTAACAAGAGTTGAGATGTCATTCCTTCTAAACACGAATCTTTTATTTATTTATTTAAATTATTGTTTGGTCTTTTAATTTGTCTGGTTACTTTATGAGTACACCTTGTATTATCTGAAAACTTCCAAATTTGCAGCAGTCATCACCATCATCATCAATGTAGCTGGCCATAATTTTTCAAAAAAAGTATCTATAAATCTGTCTTCTCATAATCTTCCAGTGCTCCATACGGCAGATTTTATATTAAAATATATTAAGAACTCTTGGTTGGTCTACTGCTACATGCATTTGTCATTTGGCTATCGTATTGCGTATGCCACTCGGCTATCGTAATAATGCTGCCTGCCATGCTAAGTGGGTCTGGGTTTGAATCTTGGGCATGGATATTTTCAAGCATATAGTGTTTCTGTGACAAGGCAGCACTCAAAAGTCATGGTGATCTGAAAGTTTTCTCAAGAAATTGGTGTGTGTGTGTGGGGGGGAGAAGCAAGAGAGCCTGAAGTGTTCTTCTTCAGAATCGGGTAAAAATTGCACACTCCTGTTTTTCTGTAGTGATTATACCTGTATGACCAATAGTGAATTTCTGGGGTCTTGCCCATGTCTAATGGTATATTCTATATCCATTTTGAAAAGGCTACTTTATGTCCACATTTCAGTACTTGTAAAATTCCATTATCCATTAGCTGAGGGTAGAGTAAAATGGAGACATTACCATTTATTACAATTTTAATTTTGATAAGATAGCATTAATAATAATAGTCTGAACAAAATGATAAGCTGGATCAAATCAAAAGTCAAGGTAGAGCATAATTTGCAGTGCTAGCTGAACTTAAGTTTATTGGAATCTAATTCTTTCTGCCTTTTTCCTTGCTAAGCCAACAAAAGAAAATCAATATGTGCAGCATTCCACTCCAAACAAACTATAGTCCTTCTAAGTTTACTTATTGTGTTCAGAGTGCACTCGATTCCAAACAATATTTTAATGGAAGCAGTAATTTATTTTTGTAATAATGAGAAGAGTCCCTTAAGCTGCATAAGTTCAAAGTATAGCTATAATCATACAGAAAAATGTTGCCCTTTCACATTAACTTGAGTGAATGAAAATGAAAATGTGGTTCATTAGCAGGCAGTTATTTAAAGGTGAAACAACATGCAGGACGATTCAAACTATCACTGCTAATGATGTTTTTTTTAAAAAAGAAATCTCAGCTGTAAGATTTGATTTATTCCAGATTTGCCCCCCCCTTTTTTTTTTAAATTCTGTATTTTCTGTTTCTACATGAGGAAAAAGAAAATTAAAAAAAAAAGTTTGTGAGGTCTTGATAATAGATCATTCTGGTTATTGAACATCTGGATTTAAGACTTTGTACTGTTGTTCTGCTTTATTTTGTACAATTTAAAATATTTTACTTATAAATAATTAATTACAGATTGCAACAGGAGCTATAGAAGTATTGGAAAAGTACCCTCTAGATTACAAGGTCCGTACCACACCTCTGAAGCCATGCAAAGTTAGAGGTCGTAAACCAAAAGATGGTTTTTCACCTCGGAAACAAGCTCTTCAGAATGCATTTAAGCAACTTATTGCCAGTGGAAAACTTCACAAAATTGAGCCAGTTGATTCCTTCCCAAAAAATAACTTGGTCAGCAATAAACTTTGTCATTTTTCTAATAACAACAATGAAAACAATTTACCTGACAGTAGCAATGAATGCATGACAAATTTATGTAAGAGTGATTATGGTATAAGCTCACATAATTATAAAGCCGTTTCGCTTTACAATAGCTCTGTAGAACGAGAATGCATTCAAAAGGGAGAAACTGCATGCAAATATTATGCTGGAAAACAAGTTTTGCCCAACTGTCAAACCACATTTTCTAATTATAACAATAATAATAACATAAATGGTCCCCAAAATTCTCAAAGCAGACACTTGTCTCATTTTCCATATAATGAAGGACCAAACCAGCTTTCCACCTTAAATGAAAATTCTCAGAATTTAAGAACAAAAATGTATGTAAACAATCTTCATGCTAGATCTGTTTCAACATCTTTGCCTTCAAATGAAATTGGGCATTCACCTTATGTTTCTTGTCCAAATTCAACGTTTTCACCTGAAAAAGTAAATCATTCAAATTCAAACACTTCAGACATGATAGCAAAGTCTCATAAAGCTCTTTTGTGTAGTACATTTAATGGTAACGACAGCAATAATAATTATCTATGTCATCCTAACTACAGCTCAAATACTACTCCTTCACAGAATAATTTTCAAACATCGCCACAGAGTTGTACAATCCCTCATGAATACCCAGGGCAAAAACAAAATTCAGTGTCGCAAAATAATAGCTTCTACTCATATCACTGTTATTCTCCATCATGCAGTACAGGATACGTCCAGAATAATAACTGTGGGCAAAATTCTCAGCAAACATATGTTAACCAGCAGCCATATCAGTACTCAATACCAAATATACCTCTAAAGATTCCTGGCAATTACTCTGCTGCAAGCTCATATCCTTTTAGACTTCAACATTCCAGTGATGTGATTAATCACAGTTTAAGTAATCTGCCTTATTCCAGCTATCATGGGAATTTTAATAGCTGTTCTAACTATGCAACATCACTATCTTGCAGTGTACCTGATAACTCTAAACTGTCAAATGACCATCATAATTTTACAAATTTTATGTCTAAATCTCAACCAGAACATTTTTTATCATCACCATTAGCCAGTCACCATCTTACTAGCACTTTATGTAATCAACATCAATATAAAATTCCTCAAATACCTTGTACAAAAGACCAGAATATTTTTATACAGTCTGAAAATTGTAATAGTGCATGCTCTGTCGAAAAGCAAAATACCACACCAGAGACTCATGATGGTGTGTACTCATTGCAAGATTTGGATACAAAATCAGTTAATTGTGTTTCTGACATTGAACATATTCAGAGAATGTTGCCACATGAAATAAATTCTTACCACAAAATAAACACACCAGTCAAAGAAGAAAATGGTATACATGCTAAAAATGATACTCTTTTAAATTCAAAACATCAGAAATTACAGAATGATTTGAGTGAGGACTGTGAATCTCGTGCTAAAAGTTATAATTTTCATTTGCAACAATCGAACCTCATCTTAGATTTTGATAATTTTTCTGATGTAGTATCTCATTATAATACAGAATTACCACTTACGAATGAAGATTTTGGTGTTTCATTCAAAGAAGGCTATGAGCAAAATGTTAAAAATGATAACTATTCAAACTTGTATGATAGAAAGGAAATTTCTTGCAGTGATTTATCTAAAACCGTAAGACCGCAGAGTGCACTTGATTCCAAACAATATTTTAATGGAAACAGTAATTTAAATTATTCTTGTAATAATGAGAAGAGTCCCTTAAGCTGCTTAAGTTCAAAGTATAGCTGTTCAAATTTTGAAGATGGGGAGAATTTGGTTGATTCTACCACACCAACTATAGAAGGTGATGAAGTCTATGAAGGACATTCCGATAATGAGAGCAGCTTTAAGGATGTTGAAGTTGGTGGGGTAGCTATTGCACTGACACATGGGTCTGTGCTATTTGAATGTGCCAAACATGAACTGCATGCGACCACAGCTGTGAAGAAGCCTAACCGCAAACATCCAACTCGTATCAGTTTGGTTTTTTATCAGCATAAGCACCTGAATTTTGAAAACCATGGGGAAGCTGAATGGGGCCAAAAGATGAAAGAAAAACGTGTTGGAGGAGTAAAAAATTTAGATATATGTTTTGATGCATCACCAAATAAAAAACAACGGATGCAGAATGATGATGATATTGTAAAAGATCCTGTTCCCTTGCGATTGGCGAATACAACACCTACCACAAGTTGGGTTACTGTTTTTTCCATTGCCCCCTTAGCTGTAGGTGCTCCATATCGACATTAACATATTTTAAAATCCTATGAGTCTCCTCAAAAGGTTAAAAAAATAATAATAATTAAATTTCAGAGTGAAGTTGCATTTTTAAATATTTCCAGCATCTAAAGTTAATATCACCGTAGTTTGTAACAATTAGTAGGTAAACTGGAATCTATTTTTATTATTTACATTAAATTAATTTATTTTGTAATCTCTTAGAAAAATTATGAAAAATGCTGCTAAAGATCAGTTTTCTTTTTATCGTTATCAAAATATATCACAATTTATACAACATGATATTGTGAGAGATCTCATAATACTTATACTCTGTTTCTGCTAGTTATAATAGATCAAGCTTTGTAATTTTTTATTCTCGACATATAGTATTTGAAGTAAAATTTTCAGTCTCGTTTTGAAGGTTTGCTGCTTTTTTTTTAATACCTGTTATTTAAAAAAAAGTCCATAATTTTCTTAGAGAGTATTCCGAAAAATGCTTTTAACATTTAAGATGTCTATAAAATGCAATAAGATAATTCTCTTCCAAGATTAATTGTGTGATAAAATATCTATGCACACAAGTTAAACTATGCAAAACACTATAAAAAGAATGCTAATTGCAGCTGAGGGAACTTTGGCAGACTATTGTAGGAATGCATTCTACATTTTAATAATATAACACAGTGCCTCATAAAAACATTTTATACTGTATATTTATCTGGACTACATTTTATATTTTTTAACAGACTATTGTACAGATGAGAAGTTTGAGAAGCCAGGCTATTTTTTTTATAAAAAAAATAATGGTAGAAAAATGTATTTTACTCCGAATAAATTTAGAAATGAGTTTTCCTCAAGCATGCAGTTTCTTCTTTTAAGTTTAAACAGGAGCTGTGGGAAATGAAGGCTTTACCAAAATGGTAAAATATCATCAAAGAATGAAGAACTAAGGGCTGTTATGAAAATAAAGTATGCACAAATCCTGAGTTACAAATATGCTTGGAATATGAAGTGATGAAGTACAACTTATTTACAAATTTATAAATACAAAAATCTACTCTTCTTGGGTACTTAAGCTAATCATTTTGACTTATTCACTTTGACAAATTATTTTAACCCTTCATCCTATTATGCAGAAAATATCCAGAATGAGCATTCACTTCTTAAAAACTCTTCATTCAGGGGGGGATAATCTTCCTGAAAATTTAATAGGCAAAAAATATTTCTGAATAAGTGAATGAATTATGAAAAGATTTTGAGTATTTTGTAGTTTCTTTAAGATCTTTTAAGGTAGTCATAATCCACATAATTAATTGCATATAAATATTTTAATCGATATTTCTGAAAATAATCCGCTTGTTTAATTTATTTTAAAACTAAAATTTTTATTGTAAACAAATTATTATTCTTGTGGTTATTGATGCAAACACAGGGGAATATTTTATGTATTTTCTCCATTGATATTAGAATTCAGATTTATGTCAGTTCATACATGGACTGATATGAAAGTCCTTCTAACTTCAAGTAATAATTTAGATAGATACATGCTAATTTTTCCTTCTTGAAAACTTAACTGTTTCATTCTTTTCAACATAACTCTCATTAGTGTTGATGCATTTATTCCAGAAGATTGATTCTTCAAACTCATAGTTAAAATGATGGTATCTATCACAGCCTCAGGAATCAGGCTGATTCATGTTCCATCTTATTTATGTGGTCTGGATTAGTTGATTTCTGGTATTTTTCAAAAAGTTAAAGCTTATTAACATAGAAAAATTATCAGAATTGAGACATTTTAATTAGAACAATCCAGAAACACTGAATTCATCATAATGCATCAAGATTGGTAGTGACTATATTGGAAAGTTCTGAAAAACTAAACATTCAAAGGAAATTACAAGGTGTCTAAATTATTTCTGTAAAATTTAAAAAAAAAAAAAAAAATTAGATATTAATATGTAAAAATCTTTTCTAATGTTATTGATGAATGTATGACATTGAATGAAAGATGCATAATTATTGTTTAGCAATTGTAAATTATTACTTTTATGTATTGTTATCATTGATTAACCATAAAAATGGGTTTTTTTACCATCACAGCCTTTGTATATGTTTTGTGCATCCATAGTGTTCGTAGAGAACTTTAACCATGTTTCATAGAATTTCTGTTTTAATTCTTCAGCTCAATATTTGTAACTCAAGGACTGTACTTAACTGGAGAAAGAGTAAGAGATAAATTGTATTTTGCCATGTTTTTGTTAAAATTTGAAACAAAATATATGATTAGTTATATTATTTTAGTAAAAATCAAACCAGTTTAAAAACAGTCGGTTTGGAAACAATGTAATTTGTATATACTACATAAATTATTATTCTGAGATATTTTATGAAACTCAAAAAGATTTTTTATCATTATGAAAGATAAATTTATTAATGTATTTGTTTCTGATAAGAATTTATCTTCAGTGCAAAATGATGTGGCATATTATTTTAAAAATTTTATTCAATGTGTTCATTTCTTTATTTGAACTAATATTTGTATGCAATTTAAATGCACTGTACAACCTTAATTTTGTATATTCTTTAAGTATGTACTTACAGCATGAATTTATATTCACCACTGATCAGACTGTTCAGTATGCTCTTATTTTAAGAGTAAAATATTGAAGATTTTTGCTTTAATTAATTCAGATTTTCATGGACTTTTTAATTTACATGTAATATGCACCGAGTGAAAAAAAAATGAGACTTTTCTGTATCTATTCTGTGTAGCCAATTGACGAAATTCAGCTTGCATTTTTCACATCTTGAAAGCGTGACAGAATATATAGTAGACTTACTTACGTACGTATTTTGACAAAAAATTAGACTTATTCTGAGATGACATGCCGAATTTTTTCCAAATTTTGAATCCTACAACTCATATTATGCCTAAAGAGCAAATTTTGGCGAGACATTTAAAAATTTGGTTTATTCACTTGAACTGTGTACTTCAAGTACACTGATATAAATGCTTTAAGAATTTGATTTTATTTATTTGAACTTCATTTCTTTCAGAAGTATATTTTGTGGTCCAGTATATGCCATGATGCATTTGAAAATTGCAATATTAAAAAGGAAATACATTTTTCGTTCAATGGACTGTTCAGGAAGGATGTACGAATGAGAAAGTTGTAAAATCAACATTTTAATTTAGGAGATGCAGATATTGCTTTGCATAGTTATCACTGTGCCACTGCTTTGCACATCATTTCATTTTATCATCCTAATTTAAGTTTCTTAAATTATTATCCATATTTCAAAATAGGTGTAAATACTTCATTTTTTAAATCACAAAAATCAAATAGTATAAAATTAAAAAAATATGCAAAAAAAAAATATTTTATTTTTTTAATACCTCATCGATTTTCTTGAGGCATTTTGCAAATATATCAGCAATCATCTACAAATTTTTATTTGTTATATATCATAAAAATTTTTATATATTTTAATTTTTGTAATATTCCCATGACCTTTCATTTCATCAATGTTTCTTATCATAAAGTAGTGAAACAATTTTTACTGTAATACTGAAAGTCTTCAGAGGTTAGGCATTTTGAAAACAGGAGATGAAGGAAAGACCAGTTTCATCAACAGTGAAAAACACTTTTAGCTGATTATACTACTTTGGATAAATTCTTGAATCTTCCAACAAATTTTTGCGAGACATGTTTGAATTCTCCATTTATGATATGGAAGGAATCATCATAGAATTGTATGATTACATCATATGATTCTATGATATATTTCACTTTGACTTATCTTTGAATTCCTTGTTCTGAAATCATTCTATCAAAAATTTTGACTTACTGAAGTTTAAGTAATCAAGAGGTTTGTTTTTGGCATGGCTCCAATAGTTGACGTCACATTCCTTTTATCGCTTCCATATCACAAAAAAACTTCTTTTGAAAGACAATTTTAGTTTTGGTGAAGTGAAAATAACTCCAAGGAGACAAATTTGGAGAATATGGACGATGACTAATTATGCAAACTTATTTTCGAATAATGAAAGAATAAATGAAGTATCATCAAAGAAGAAATATTATTTAATACTATATACACCAAATTCAGTTAACACAGCGGAGTTAAAATTTTAATGCTAAAGAAAGAAGGTGGAAAAAAAAAAGGTACTTTTCCGTTTCGCCGGCGCAAATCTCGCCAAGCAGACTTTGTTGGCGACAACATACAGTATACACAAAAAAAATGTTAATGTTAGTTTAAGAATTTTTTATATTGAAGGCATAAACATTTTAATATGGTTTAAAATTTTTTAAAAAGCCAATAAATAAAGACAATAAATTCGTAAAAAGACATTAATTTAAGATTTACTATGCTTTCATGGTTCAACATCCCGATTCGCCCGTTCTTATCACGTGACCCCCAGTGATCTCATCTCACGTAAACTACGCTACAAAAATCTAAATTCTCCATTAATGATTTACATTAATTTCAAGTTAAATCTTGATTTGGAATACAAGTTAGTTTAAATGCAAGAATTATTTCAATTCGTACGAATAGCTTACTCGGAAATTATGTAAAATCGCACTGCTTTACTTCGCTAGTGCATTCTCATTAGAATGGATGAATTTAAAAACCTTGATTTTGCCCTTTTTATATTTTCTCCTTCCGATGACGGTGTGATTGCATCCTAATTGACTTAATTACCGGGAATGGTCTTAGGGCATAAAATTGAACCATCTTGCAAAAATTCTATGTAATTGTATGCCAGTATTGAAAGAATGGCTGCAACTTGTTTTGAAAATGAAGCGTAAAAGGTTGCCAGCGAAGGTATTCCGTTTGCCATCGGTTGTACCATTATTGGTGACTGCGTTTGCGCCGGCAAAACGGAAAAGTACCAAAAAAAACTTGCTGTGATTTTTTACAAAATTTGACACTTTTGCATAATTTGGGGCATAGAATCTCTCTCTCTATAAATATTTATCTATATAATATATAATATTTTTTAGGCGTAGTCATGACAAAAGAGCAGCAAGACGGGCAAAGATGTTGATACGAAACAAAGTTCAGCTATTTACCATCTTTACTTCCAGGCACATTAGAATAATTCTTCATAGACAATATATTTTTTTGATCATACACAGTTACAATAATTTCTTACATACACAGATTAACATGGCAGACAAACAAAGCATCATGGATCTTGACGTCGTGGAAACTAAGAGAAGAAGATGACACAGTTTATTTGCGAGTGGTATTACAAGTAGTACATGCAGAAGATACTCTAAACTATGATTGGTTAGTTTGAGGTTGTTTTATAATCATGGAAGGATCTTGAATTTGGGAGAACAGATGAATTTAGGGGGAGAGCACCAAATCTAGTATATTAATTTTGAGGTCGCCAATTATTTTTAAAGCCACTATCATATTTTCTTATATCTTACATATATATATATAAAAAAAAAAAATCGTATGTCATTTCAGAAAAAGGCCAATTTTTTTTTTTTTTCAAAATAGGTGTGTTAGAATCTATTTTGACTGGTCAGTTAATGCTGTGTATATATAGCTATATATATATATATATATATATATATATCTTAAGTTGTGGTTTTAAGGCATTAGGAATACAAGTTGAATTTCATTGACTGACCTACTAGAATAGATGTTTTCCCCCCTTACTCTGCATACCTTTGCTCTGATTTTATAATTTAAAATTTCTTTATGAGGATAAAATTGCTCAAAAAGCTTTTAAAATCATATTTATTTATTTATTAATATATATGACTTCAAAAGACATGAATACAGTATATTTGCACAAAATATTTGACAGTTGGTTTTAGTGATTCTATTCATTTTTTCCCCTTTCTTTCTTAAAGAGTTAATTTATTTTATTTATTACAATAAAATTTTTACTTAACTAAAATGGTTTGTTTAAAATTGTTGTAAAACACAAACCTAGTTTGGAGGAAGCACTGCCAAATTTACATAAAACATATAATTTGTGTATTTTTTACCGCATGTTAAATGTTCTCATCTTCCATAATCATGTGTCACAATTTTAAACATTATTTAATCATATTTACTTTTAATTTTATCTTTTCATTGTATATTCAAAGCATATGACTTTTAAATATTTTTGTAAAGAATATGTAAATATTATACATAATGTCTACAACTGACATTAATAAATCCCAGTAAATCATTGACATTGAGAGCTGAGTTTATATATATATACATATATACGTTTATATGTGTGTATATATATATATATATATACACACACACACATACACACACTTAAATAGGCAACATATATTGACCATGCAGTTATTGTGAATGAAGTACGTAGTTATTTACATTTTGAACAACATTTGTATGTGGCGTAGATTTGTCCCATGTAGTGTCACTTGTATTGTAATGTTCGTCAGTTTTTACTATTACATGTAGCTGCAAATTGTATGTATTAAATTATTTTTGAGCCTCATTTGTTTCTGTTTTGTCTCTTATAATTACACAATACAAGACTGGCAAATTTTTTATCATAATCCTACAATGATTTCCCTAGTCTTCTTTTCCCTTTCAAATTTACAAATGCCATTACTAGAAAATGATTACTGAATTTTTGAGAGGAAGTACGTATCTGTTAAAATAGGTCTGCAGGCAGGACCCAGTTTGTCTTAATTTAACAATAGCAAAAAAATTCATATGTATTAAGATGAATTTATTCTTTCAGAATTTTAAATGTAAAATTAAGATGAATTCACATCTAATGGGGAAAAATATTCCAATATAAAAATTAGAAATTAAGCTCACGCCCCCCCTAAAAAAACCCCTCAACTTTTTTTTAAAATTTATTTATTTACATCAAATTATTTTAAAAGCTGTTTTTCCAATGGATTTGCTTTCGTGATAGCACTTTTATGCTTTTCGACAGTACTAAAGAGGATTGGCAAAGATTTTATCTGTTATGAATTCAATTGATCTAGCCATCCAGTTCACTTCTGCAACTGAATCAAACCAACTCCCTTCTTTTCCTTTAGTTATCCACATTGAATTTGATGATAGTACAACTGTTTACAGTAAACCATTTTCTGTTTGCATACATCTTCCTCTAAAATCATATCAAATTGCTAAATAAGAAATGCTTCTTTTTATTTGTATGTAGATTATGCTCTCTTGTTTATTCTTTGTCAAGAGCTTAATTATTTAGTTGCCACAAACGGAAAATTTTCTCAAAGCTTTTTTTTCTTGCCATCATAAAAGATATTTTGGTATTAGAAATAACTAACAATTATGTAATCATGCCATTTCATCTTTCTGTCAGTTACAAAGTTGCTTGAATTCTCCACATGTTCAACTTTAGAATCATTTTCTCACCTAACAATAAAATTCATTGCTAAACTCTTCAAGATGCTGATTTTACGGAATTTAAGCATATCTTATTAGTGTGGTTTCACATATATCACCAGACTAAAACAGCTTTAAAATTTTGCACCTTGATGCAAAATTTTGATCTAATGATCTTACATTTGAAAGGAGAACTAAACTAAATAAATCTTTGATAGCTGTCATATCCTTCTTTTTTCTTGGGCGTGTAGCTTCTGGATATGTACTTACTTCCTACCGTAGACGTATCGTATTGTGTGCGTTGCATAAAACAGCCATTTTAATGGCACAAAACTTTATTAACACACAATTAAAAATAATAAGTACAAACGAGTAACACACAAGTATAACTTCGTACTGACATACAACACGTTTCCTCCGTTACTTCGCTACTACCTACTAACTACTCTTCTCTAGTAAGTCTATGAGAGAGAGGCGTTGCAGGCCATTCGGCTAAACTGCGCATGCGTGGTCATCACGTCATGACACCTCCCCTCGAAAAGATTTGATTACATCTTTCATGACCTGTCAAATCCACATATATAAAACATTTCTTGAAACAAAATAAAATAACATTCATGAAATTTTCGAACTTAATTAAACCAATTCTTACCATTTTTAATTAAAATTACGTCAACATAAATTCAGTAATCCTATTCATTTAAAAGGATGTAACATTCAATTTAACATTCTCAAACTTAAATCCTTCACATAATCATAATCATATAAGCGTTATCATATAAACGAGACAATACAAATCAATCATTTAAAATCAAACATAATACTTTAGCAAACCCTAGCTAAATCTTTAAACGTATTACATAACGTTAGGAAAAAAAAGTTTAGCATTTTAGCTCAAAAAAAAAAAAATTCAAACTAAACAGTCAAAATGTCTTATAAGTTCACAGTTCATAACGTCAGTCATGCTTCCAGTCACTGGGGAATATTATCATGTCATTTTAAGTCACGTCATCATAAACCAGCATGGTCTTTTCGTCTACACATAATGTTACTGTTCCATTTTGTTAACGCATAAATTACTGGATGCCATATTCACTTTCTGATTCAATGATTAGCTTTAGCTGTAAAAGCTTACCTATTTGTCGATCAACTTCATTTCTTAGAACTTCAGGTATTCAATACGGTTTCTGCTTTCTTGGCATACTTCCAGGTTTCAGTCTGATGCTGTGTTCTCTCACATTGGCGATTTTCGGAATACCAGTTCTTAGGTTCTATGCCTTCTTAAAATTTCCATAAGTTTCTTTCTTCTTATGCGGTTCAAGGTGTGTAAAATCACATTCCTCATTAGAATAGTGTTCTTTTGCTTTCCGTGGAACATTCTTGGAACGTTTTCAACTTCGTCGAAATCAATATCTGTATCATATATCACACCGACATTATTCACAGCGGTATTGAACTCTCCTATCTTGTTTGCGTGAACGTGCTTCGATGAATTGTCAGGCATTTGTACTATGTAACTATAATCAGTATGCTTTTTGATGATCATAGCAGGTCCCGTCCATCTGGCATAAACTTTGTTTTGACTATCAGGGATTAAAACTATAACCCTGTCACCTTCCTTGAATTCTTTATGATGAGTCTGTCGGTTACGGTAGAATGCTAGCTTGTTTGCTTTCCAACATCTGGTAAGTCCTGCGTATTCAGCAGCTTTTTCCAATTTCGTCTTCAAATCATTCAGATAATCGGTAACTGAACTTAACTGTCCATGAGGAACAGAGTTTCATTAGTCCATGACGATTTCAAAATAGACAACGGGCCATTAGGACGTCTTCCATAAAGCATTTGGAACAGACTAACACCAGTCGTGCATTATGAACTTCACGGTAAGCCCAAAGTAAATACGGTAGATGTTTCTTCTTCTTCCCAATCTTTCGAATGTTCTCTAACGTATGATGTATCATTCCCTTTTAAAACAGCATTAAATCTTTCTACCAGACCATTTGAACTTGGATGATAAGGAGTCGAGAACCTTGGGGACGATCCGATCCTTTTCAAAAACTCTTGGGTCAACGAAGCAGTAAAATTAGTTCCTTGATCTGAAGCAACAATTTGAGGAATTCTTGTGCTTGAAAAGATTTGCAACAATGCATCGCATGTTGCTTTGGCATTCAAATTCTTCAATGGCACCGCTTCGGGCCACCTTGTACATTGATCAACAGCACACAGAACATATTTGTAACCTCTACAGCTTGGCTCTACAGGTCCTAGGATATCCACATTAATTACCTGGAATGGTTCTTTAGGATGTGTTACTGGCGTAATCGGAACTTCATCAAAGGGACGCTTTTTCGCTTGAAGTTGACAAGAAGTACAAGCACTGCAGTATTCATTTACATCTTTCTTGATTTCTGGCCAATAGAACGAATATCTCAAACGTTCGCTGTCTTCTTCTTGGTTCGCAGGTGGCTTCCCCATAAGCTAGAATGAGCTAAGTCCAAAATCTGTTTCTCTTCTTTCTTTAGGAACGACTAACTGGTAAACTCTTTCTCCTAGAACTTTATGATACAAAAAGTTGTCAATAACAATAAAGTTATTACTTCCGTTCTTAACATTTTGCCAGCATGTTTTTAAAGATGGGTCATTCATTTGTTGCACTCGAAACAGTTCTGAATCCGAAACACATTGATCGTGTCCGTGTTTGGAATCATCCTTACCTGTATCTTCATATACAAGAGCACAACATTCTATTATCTTCTTAACAGTTTCATTACATTTTCCATTAATTAGGTTTTCCCTATCATGGATAAGTATTTCGTCAAAATTTTCAGTTTCATGAAAAGGCATTTCACCGAAACTATCAGTTGCAATGTTTACATTTTTACATTCAAAATTAAACTTTCTTTTATCATCTCCCTTTAACTCATTAAAAGCACTTAACGACAAGAGTAAATCATTACATAACTTATCCACCATTGCACATGTTATAAAAAATAGGTGACATAAATTTATCATTTTCAGAATACATTACTCAAAGGTAGGTTAATGGAGAGGAGCTTTGAAAGATTGTCCGAAAGCTGACGTGAGGATAACACTTCCATGTGGCGTACGGTATTTTTCTGGTATAATGTCAGTCTTGACAACGGTTAATTGGGTGCCTGTATCTGCTACTGCATTAATTAATTTACCATCGCATATAAGTTTAACAACGGTTGGCAAGTCATCTATTAATTCCTTAACCTCTTGATTCGCAGTAAAAGTATTTAGAAGAAATCTCTGCAGTTACGGCGTTAGAATTATTCTTCTTTTCTTTAATAATATAAAGCATAAAGTAAGCAACCCTTTCCTTACTTTCATGCAACAATATATTATGATACTTAGAATTACATTTGAACATTTTAATTGAGAAGGGCAAATTTTTATTCTACAACAATTCCTTTCGAAACAAAGAAGCATCGATTAGAAGCCCTTAAACTCTTTTTCCTTTCTTCCGGAGACATAATGCATTTTTTCCGAAGCATGATTTTCGCTTTCGCAAAATAAGCAAGGGAAAGTTCGAACAACTGCAATTTGCTTACATTAGGGAATAGCTGGCGCCAAATTTGTTGGCGTTGAATGAATTCCGAGTGTGGAAGTTGTTTCGCTTTTCATTTGGTTGTGAATGCCTTCCAAGAGAATTAGCGTGACTCTTAGAATAAAATAGATTTAATGAAGTTCGTTCACGACTTTCAATTTCCCGTTTTAGAAATTTCATGAGGTTATCGACATTAAAAGTTTCCTCATATGCGTTTTGACGAGCAAAATCAAGCGTTATATCCTGAGGTATGCATTTCATTAACAAAGGGTATAGTAACTTTCCATATGATTCGGTCTTGACCCCTATCGAATTTAGTGACCTTACTTGTACGTTGCAGATATCATATAATTCCCTCAAAGAATTAATGTCATTAGAACTTCCGACAGGCCGTAAATTTAAAAGCTTATGCATGTAAGAATTAATAAGGAGATCTTTTCGACCATACCTCTCTTTGAGAATTTTAAAAGCTTCGTCGTAGTTTTTCTTTCTGAGATAAAGAAAAGCCTTCTATTGTTTTTAAAGCTGCACCGCTTAACAGGCTAAGCAAGTAATTAAACTTATCTACTTTATAGTTTTACGTTTTGATTTATTGCCGTATCAAAAGAATTGTAAAATGTCTGCCACATTTCAGCATTTCCATAAAATTTATCAATCATAATCTTCGGCAATTTAACATTATAATCAGAACTTTTATCGACACCAGAAATAGATAAATTGTTACTATCATTAGAATAACCACTAGAAACTAGCGAACTATTGCTATTTCTTTCAATAATTTTGTGCCTCTAAAGCTCCATTTCGAAATTTTTTCTTCGTATTCCAGGCACTTTCGATTTCGGTTTCAATGTCATTAACATCAGTCAAAGTTTTAATTTTTTCGTCTAACGCTCTCAAAGAATAGCTTTTACTTTTAAACTTTCCAGTGATTCTTCAAAGGTCTTCAAGGTTACCGGCTGCAATTAATGATTCAATAGCATTTGTTACTTTAGTAATGGCTGAACGAATAATTTTCCGTTCTTTCTTAGATTTCGTTAGCTCTTCAGCCATTTTTGTAACCTTGAATTCCACTTTACCACAAAATAAATTGAACAAATTTCTTACCTTTCTGAAGACCCGAGACTTCCGCATTTATCCGTGAACTTTGCAGAATGACATATCCTCCTGTTCTGACACCACTGTCATATCCTTCTTTTTTCTTGGGCGTGTAGCTTCTGGATATGTACTTACTTCCTACCGTAGACGTATCGTATTGTGTGCGTTGCATAAAACAGCCATTTTAACGGCACAAAACTTTATTAACACACAAATAAAAATAATAAGTACAAACGAGTAACACACAAGTATAACTTCGTACTGACATACAACACGTTTCCTCCGTTACTTCGCTACTACCTACTAACTACTCTTCTCTAGTAAGTCTCATGAGAGAGAGGCGTTGCAGGCCATTCGGCTAAACTGCGCATGCGTGGTCATCACGTCATGACAATAGCTATTCATAATTTGGTATTCAACTATAATTTAGATTTTTGTTCAGCAAAAGTTATTTCATCAGCTGTTGAATTGGATTTCCTTAAAACTTTCACATTTATAAACATCATATTTTTTTAATGAATTTTTTCCTCTGCGCTTTCAAATTATAACAACTTGGCAACTTTAATATCATAACTTTTCACACTTCATTGCTATTTTCTTCAACATTTGGCTCTTAAGATGAGATGGTTACTTCGACTTTTTTCCTGTCAATTTTCATGTAAAATGGCTGTTGCACCTTCCCAACCCTGAAAAAAAAAAAAAAAAAAAAAAAAAAAGGTTCTGTTGTAGAGAGATCTATGCCTACTTGTATTTGAAATCAATATAATTTTGTTCATAATTTATCTCAAACTAAAATTGCTGTTTTGCTTAATTTTAAGCAATAATGACATATTATTTTATTTTACATAAATATGAAGGACAAACAGGATGTTTGTTATAATTATTGAGAAACATGCAATTAAAAAAATATTTATTTTAGGCTCAAAACTTGATATCTACTTAAGAAAGCTTTAACAGATATTGATGCCCAGTGCCTTTAACAAACTATTCTAAAATCTCACAAAACAAGAGACAGAAACCATGACAGTGTTAAACCGTAGTATTTTTCAGCAGTTAAAAAACTTATGTCAGTTCTTTAGCAGTGGCATCGCCGGGCATTGTGATTCTGTGCATTCCCCGAGTATCTATACATTGAACTGCTACAGCATGTGCTTGCATATTTTTTACTTTTGTGCAACTTTTCGAATAGGAAAGGTTTGTTATGTGCTTTAGTAAGCCGCATTGATTTTGGTAACACTGGTCAACAGCAAAAAAGGTATTAGAGATGAAAACAACTCATTCCTATTAATTTTGATCTGCTGAACATGAAAATAACTGTTAAAATTATTTATTAGTTCACGCTTTGAAGATCTATGGATTAGCAATTATCCACACACTGATGAAATGTCCCTGATATATGAAGACATCCACCTGATGTTTACCGTCGAAGGATGACTCAGTCGGCACAAAGTGTTGCATATTTCTTCATTAGTAAGTTGTAAGACAGCGTTCAAGCAAAATGCCTTGTAAATGTGTTAATAATGGTTTTTGTTATATTTGTGGCGAGGTGACTTTTGCGTCACAGAGATAAAATCCGACTCTGGTTTAAAAACTTATAATTTCTATTCTGGCTGCAAAGTGGAAGATCAAGACAAGTCCTAGTCCCCACACATGTGCTGTAATTCGTGGGCTCCTGGTCTGCAAAACTGGTTAAATCACACACAAAAAAAAACCCAACGCCCTTGTGGTCTCGATGGTGTTGAGAGAGTCATCAGATCATGTAAGGGAGTGCTACTTCTGCATGGTGCCCCCTGTAGAAAAGGAAAGGAGATGAGTGCATCGAAGAAAAAGAAGTTCATTATAATGTATTTAAATATACTATCTGCTATATGACCAATACACCAAATAATGATGATTTGCCATTTCCTAAACCGTCGGAAACCTATACCTCTGACTAGGAATTGGGAAAAATTTGAGGCAGAACTGTTAGGATCAAGATTAAAGAAGTGAGATCTTTTAAAAAACGGTATGATAATAACTCATTTTTATACTCATCAGAAAGATTTGATGTCATTCTTCAACACTGTCAGAGACTTAAATATTTGTTAGGACGTAAATAGTTTATTCGGAGCTTTCGATATGAATCATAAACTGGAAGACCGGACATTACTCAGATGGTTCAATATTAACTTTAAAAGCCGTTCTGCTACACACTGAATACAATTTACTGTCGATTCTTGGCCAAAATGTTGATATGAAGGACTCGTATGAAAATTTGGAGACTATCCTAAAGTATAAAAGGCAAGTATCTGCAGATTTAAAAGTAGTTGCTCTTTTATTAGGGTTGCAGTAAGGATACAGGAAATTCTACTGTTTTTTTTTTTTTTTTTTTTTTTTGTTTTGTTTGAATAGAATAGTCGAGCAAAGGCAGATCACTTTAAAATGAAAGTGTGGCCTACTAGACAGTCCTTGGAACCAGGAAACATAATGTGCAGCATATGTTATTGATTGACCCAGCAAAGATATTATTACTAATTTTGTGAAATCGATGAATAAAAATGGCCTGACATTTCAATATCTTCGAGGGAAATTTCATTGGCTAAGTGAAGAAAGAGGAAGGCATTCTTGTCAGGCCATAAATCCAAAATCTCTTCAAGGATGAATGTTTTGAAAATATGACGAGAAGAATGCTTGGATAAATTTTCGACAAGTAAATACTAACTTCCTAGGAATCAGGAGGTTTGAAAACTACCCTGAACTTGTGGAGGAACTGTGGTTATCGAATAAGAAACTAGGTTCAACATGTCTTTGAAAATACATTTTCTTGATTTGCATCTAAATTTTTTCCCAGATAGCTATAGTGTGGTTAGTGATGAACACGGTGAGCACTTTCACTTGGACATTGCAGGGGTGGAGAAAAGATATCAGGGAAAATGGAGCCCTTCCATGCTTGTTGATTATTGTGGGACACTAGTTAATGATGCTCCAGATGTAGTTTATCACCAGATAGCAAAACGAAGACGTATTTAGTGTTAGAAAAGCACTTCCAGATAGTTTTTTTTATAAATAATATGCTTAAAAACATTCTTAATAAAAAAACTGTGTGGCTAACTTTTGAATTTCATTGTTGTTTTTATATTTAGCAGCATAGTTTCTGTACAAAGATGGAATTTTATATCAATGATACCAACAAAAAGTTCAATTTGTTACTTAGAGTAATTCATACTAAATTTAATTTTTATCCTTAACATACAAGGCAATAGATTGATGGTTGAAGTCTGGAACTTTTAAACCGAAAGAAAGCAGTGATTATAGTAACAGTCAACAAATAGAAAAAAAAATTAATAAGGCTGAACCACCTACAATTCCTGAAGAACTTGCTAAGAAAAAAGGAAGAAAAATTCGCAAGTATGAAAAAAATATTTTTAATTCGTTATCTCATGGACTGGAGATGAAAAACATTGTACTCTATTTTGGGTCATCTATTCTGAAAATCTTAACAAACGCTATCGTAAAACTGTCCAACTAAAGTGCCATTTTGAGACGAACTACAAACAGTAGGAAGATAAACCCATCATTAAAAAAAAATAATAATTAAAAATTTAAACCAGTTTCGAAAAGTAATGCAAGATTTTAAAGAAGGTGATAGTAAAAAAAAAAAAAAAAATACTAGAGGCTTCGTATTGTGTGCCTTTTTTAATTGTGAAATGTAGTACAGCAGAGACGATTGGCAAAACTTGATTCAAGAATGCAGCCAAGGCAGTAGTAAAAGTAATGATTAGAGATATGGCAAAACAAGCCTTTGACCTTGCTCCTTCTTCAAATAATACAGTTCATTGACTGATCATTGATATAATGTAAAACAGATGTTATCTGATATTTCTCAAAGTCGTTATTATGCATTACAAGTTGAAGAGTCTGATACTGATATTATATTGCATTACAAGTTGAAGAGTCTGATGCTGATATTATACTACTGATATTATATTGCAAATTTTGATACTCTTATGACATTTGTTCAAGAAATTCCTGATTAATTTTTATATTAACAGCCTTTATCAGGTCATACAACAGAAGATATCTTTGATGGTAGGAATATTATGCAAGAGACAAAATTGAATGGAATAAGCATAGGTGGAGCAAAAAGTATGGTTAGAATTAAGAACGTTGCTCTAAATGTCATATTCAAACACTACTGCATATAGAGATATGTGGCAATATGTAAAATGCCTGCTTACCTACAGAAATTTCTGGATGAAAGCAAATAAATCATTAACTACATTAAAGACCATCGTATGAATGCAGGACATTTTTCGCAAATGTGTGAAAAGATAGGAAGCAGTCATACTCAGCTTCTTTTTCATACCGATGTTCAGTGACTAATTTGAAGAAAAATTCTAAACTTATTACTTGAACTTAGACATAAGCTTCAAGTTTTTCTTATTGATAGATTCGAGTTGAAAAACAGTTTACATGAATGGAAACAGCTCTGTAAATTGGCAAACTTAACAAAGATATTCTCTGTTTTAAACTGTCTTGACTTAAAGAGAGAGTTGGTAATAGAGAAGTAGAGTAGTTTTTCTCTCTTCATGAGTTTATAAAGTTTGGCTGCTAAAATTGATGCTGATATTCTGAAATGTATAACACAGCATTTAGAGAATTTACAGCAGGTTCGAATAACTATTTTCCTGATTTAAACAAAAATACTGAATATAAGATATCCATTCAACATTAATACAACATCCATGCCAGAAGATTTATCGCATGTGGAAGAAGAACAATTGCTGGAATTAACTTCGGATGCATTCTTGAAAAATAAACATATGAAGTGTACTTTAACATCTTTTGGTTGTAAATTCAACATGCGTATACAATTTTAACAGAAGTCCCGAAATATATTTTGCCTTTCTCAACTTTCTATATTACCAGACACTAAAAATGCAACACCAAGGAAAGTGATGAAACTCGACAAACAGAGAGAGAGACAGCAGCGAACATTAAGTGATCTTTATTTCAAAATGATATGCATAACACAGAGCGAGAACAGCATCGGCTCAGTAGGTTGGGGGCTACTGACGAGGTTTCCGACCTAAGGAATAATGTACGCGGAATTATACCCCAGATCAGTAGAAAATCTACAAACCTCCAGCCCACAGAGGTGGGGCTGAAAATCCAACGACTAATTTTGGGACGTAATGAGATTTATAAAGTCATAGCCTTAAATATACTTT